TACACCAAAGAGGATGGACTGCAAAAAGTCTTCTTGGCTATGCTGTTTTAGTCTATTTTAGGGGGTTTTTTTGTTTCATAATTAGGAGTATTTTCAAATCCACAACTGGTATTGTCAAGTGGCCATTTGTTATGCAACTTGTTTACCCTTTTGGTCTACCAGTACAAAGATTGTAACTCATGAAATACCACTTTTTCTATGAAGAGTTGTTTCTTAAGGGAAAATACAGTCTGTGGCAGAAGAGAATAAGGCACGAGCATATAAAAGGATTTCACAGTAAAAAAAGAGTTTGAAATTAAGATATTTCCAAGCTAACTGAAATTAATTTTCTTCTATCCTTTTAACTAGCAGAAAGAAAGGGGAAAGAAAAAAAACCCCAACCCTGAGAACTGTGGAATTAAGAACAATTTAAAGATTGAAGCTGTTTCTCCTCCTTAGCTTAAGCATGAAGAGGAAGTGAGTCAAGGCATTTGGAGTAAAAGGGAGTATTTCAACCCTGTGGAAACTGCAGGCAAGAAGCTATCAGCAGACACACAGTCTTTCAGGCTCTTTTTCTACCTCCAATTTTGATCCTCCTCCCTTTGAAGCCTCTACAAGAATCCTGGACCTTTTGAGATTAACCAACAAGAGAAAAGCAATTTTGGTATTACAGAGCTCAGAGTGATACAACACATTACAACAGTACTTACAAAGGCAATTATATCTCATAAAATTATTTTACTTCTTGTTCTGGTGACTTGGCTCACAGAGACACTATTTCTTACCCTTGACTTATTTGATTAGGAGCTGCTGCAGCTCTGGATTTCAGTACTGGCCTGTCTCTCCCTATTTGAAATTTCATTTCAAATTTCCCACACATCTCCCACACACTAGACATCAGCCTTTATATGCAAAGCAAAATATGTGCCCAGTCACGAGCTGCTATGGTGATGGCACACAAACTTGCACTAGGTGCACCACCCAAATATCCAAGCTTCCAGCACATCATCTCCTGCAAGAAAATTCTCCCAAATCTGCCCAAGAGCTTCCCAATGCTGAGAGGCCTCCACTGCCCATGGCAGGATGTGGTTGGGGCTTTTCACTCGTGTGGTGATGAGGTCGTTCCTTCTTCTGCTGGTTTGTCTGCCAGATCATGATTTGCAGATTTTTATTATTAGGTTGTGTTTTTTCTAGCAGAGAGGCAGCTGATGAGGCTGCTGTCTTGCAATGAAATTTCACTTCCCTGGTTTGTACAGATTTTCTACACTACCATATGCAACCTGCTTGGCCTCAGTGACCCTCCCTACCCAGCAGAGATGGTGAGAAAAAAAAAATACATTAAGATTATGGCAGTCTCAGTTGCTATAGTAATAAAGACTTGTTGAAAAGCTCAGTTCATGACCAACACCAGTAGGATGAGCATCTGTGACATAAGTGGACACATCCATCCCCAACAGCACAATTTCAGCAGCCAACAACAGTTTAACCACAGCAACACAGCTGGTGTCATTTCTCTGCTTCCTTCCCTGCTCAGACCTTTGGTATTTTCTTAATACCCAAACTCCAGTGACCAAGCTTTTGCAAACAATAATATTCAAACCTCGAGCAGTATCCAGAACCATTACACCTCTGGCTGCCACCCTAACATGGTGTCTGATAAAATAGCATTTGAAATTGTTCTGCAGAACTACAGAGTGCCACTGGTACTGAGGAAAACTGCTTCAATTACTGAAAATTTGAACCAGATCATTTAGAAATTGAAGAACTGTAACAGGGACAGTAAAACAATAGTTAAATAAGGTTTTGGTACCTTTTCATCAAGGCAAACAGAAGCTTAGTTGGATGATGGAACCTGATGTGTCCTTAGGCTGGCAAAGAGCTACTGAAAGCACATAAAGCATCACCTACTGCCTAATTCTTTATGTACCTAATTTTGATACTTGAAGTGATGATTGATCATCTCAGATGAGAATCTGTTTATTACAGGGGAAAATTATTTCCCTTAAGTTAACACAGCCAATAGCAGGGCAGGATAAATAATCATCCCATCCCATCCTTCAGAGCAAGTGAAGAAATACAGGTAGGTGTTTTCTCCTTTGAGTGACTGCTGACTCTACATTTAGTCACATTTTCAGATTAAAAAAAGCTGCTCCCACAAATGTACAATCAGAAGTCCCTTCTTTTATTATGTACAGAAATAAAAGCTTATATTTGAACACTAGTGTGAACTATATATATTCAGTGTTTGAGTCTAATGATAAAGATAGCATAAGAAAGAGGTAGATTGCTCTAGTAATTATATAAAATGCAGCAGTCATTTAACTCTGCAGTTGCAAGCTTTTATTTGGGTAAAGTCTTTCAAGTATATAGAGAATTTTCACACACAATGAGAATTTAGGAGGTATTTTGACAGCTTATATTTCCATTCCATTTTCTTTAATTTTTCATCTATAACAACTTTATATTGTTGAGATTCTTTTTTTTTTAAAATGTGATTTTCTTTGAAAGCTTTGCTCAAACATTCTGCTTAACTTTGGCAGCGAATGTAATCAAGTCATTTCCCTGTCTTTTATGCCTCCATGCATCAAAAAAACTACTGACAAAGCCAAGAAAAAAAAATTAAAAATCTGGGTTTGTTTTTACATTAGTTTTAACTGAATTATAGACACCTCTTTGACCCCAGCCCCTGATGGACTTCATCTGAAGTCTGCTGGAGACCATATGAAATTTTGAGGACTTTAAACAAGAATGAGGGGAGAGCCTTCAAGTCCAGGAGGGAAGTAGAGGTGCTTCAAGGTAAGCAGAGAGGCTTGGTATGTTCCTGAGTGAATCAGCCCTTCCTTCACCCACCTGAGCCATCCCCAAGGAGCAATTGTGCTCCCAGGAACGTGCAACATGTCTTGCATTGCAGGGAAAAACGAAGGATGTTCGAAGCTGGAAGCAAAGTCCAAGATTTTCTCTAAAAGCTGTTTGTAAGAGTTTCCTTGCAGAGCACTTGCTAAGTGCCTGGGCCTGGGTGTTTAAACAAGGGCTGGTCTCGCACACACTGTCTCTTGTTCACAGCTAATCCTGCAGCGAGGTCAAATAACGTCAACCCTGAGTTACCACAGCCATCTCCAAGGCAACTGGCGAATATACAGTGTAAACACACGATTACAGATTCACTGTGCATCCAGGAAGGAGGAGGAGGAAGAGGTGGACTGAAACAAGTCATGGTTCCATTGAAATCAGAGTAGTCAGTGCTGAAGCAACACTGGGCAAACACATCAGTGTGAGCAAAGGGTTTGAAAAAATTTGGGTTCTTTCCCATTTTGCTTCTCCCATGCACCACTACAGTATTTTTTATTTAGGTAGTTTCTTCAAAATGAGGTATGAGCACAGAAGAGGTATTATCCACATGGCTGCTTTACATCTGAGATGTGACCTCTTCCCTTGCACCACAGCCCCAGACAGTGCAGGAATGGGACTACATTTCCGAAAGGTCCATTAAATCTTTATCTGATAGAAGCTGTATTTTGGGACAGCATCCATCCCTATCTAATATCACATGCCACAAGATCATGATTATACTGGGTAAAAAAGAACCAAAACAACCCATTATTACTAAAAGAACAACTGAGAGAAATTCCGTCTTTTCCCTTTGAATCACGAAGGGAGTCAGATTTCCCACTAACAGTGACACAACGAGCCCCAGGGAGCCCCCATCAGTGACTCAGTTACATCTGGGGATGGTAGGAGAGGCAGTGCCTAGAGCATCACCCCGGTACTGCCTGGCAGCCACCACCCCGGCCACATCCATCACTGCTCTGAGGACAACAGGGCCAGAGATGATAGGAAAGCATCGCTCCCGCCCGGAAATCCCACCAGGCACGCTGGTTCCCACATGGGCTGAAGGGGAACACTGAAGCTTTTCAGTTCCTTTCTTGGCGACACAGCCACGGTCCCCAGGGGGAGGTGAGGTCATTGGGAGCGGGGCTGGCAGAGCCCCACGCCCACCACACAAAAGCAGGGAAGGAGTCACCCCCTTCTTCCTCCTCTTCTGGGAGAAAATAAGCACTAATCTAATTGATTGCACGGGGCTCCAGTCGTCAGTAGCCATAAAAAGACTTCTCTTCACAAGCCAACTGAACAACATGAACAGCACAAAAAAAAAGGAGGAAATGAAAAAAAACAAGAGTGGCCAACTTTTAGCCACTCACTCCCAGCAGAAAAAACTCTTTAGCCCAAATTTTACTCCACGTGCACCTCTCGTAAAACAATACTTAGGAGGTACATAAAAAGACAAACCCAAGAAAAACACCTGATGGCTTGAGCCACACTGTGTACAGTGAAAATGTCAGGCGTTCTTCTCACACTAGCAGCAACATGCTGCATAGCAACAAGTCAGAATGAAAGGTTAATGGTAAGGACTGCAGCCTGGAACACACTCATTCCCACGGTCCTGAAGTCACCAAAGGGAAATGCTGCACTGATTTGTTTTGTTCTGCTGATGGCACAAAGGCTTAGGAAGAGCGGTGGGCTTTCGTGTGGCACCAAGCAGCACACATCCCCTGCCACTGCAAGAGTTCCAGAAATGCTCTACAGGTTTTAGGGGAAAGGGTTGTATTCCACCAGGACTACAGCAATGAACCTCACCAAGTCAAGCAGGTGATAAGTGTAGCTAGGACTATCCAGGCTGTACATCACTTGTACAACAGCATCTCTAACCTGGCAAATGTGCCTTCCACTATCTTCAATGCATTTAAAAGCTTTTCACTGTGTGTAAATGTAACTGTGTATTTTATACAGTAGAATCTCATAGTTAAACATCCATAACTGCAATCTCAAAGTCATTTAATTCTAGCAAAATCAGGAAAGAGATTTTTAAAAGACAAAAGCAGTCACCTAAACCATTCCACTCCCTGTGAATGTGTAAATGAGGAATAAGACAACCAACAAAACAGCATTACATTCCAGTCCACTTCTATTAACCAAACTTCATAGACTGTTACACTGATATGCAAAGAAAGGCAATTGTTTACCAGGAGAAATGGTCTCCAGACTCCCAGGATTAATCTTTCTTGTGCTTGTGCAGTGTTGGACAGTTGATCCAGTGAAGACCAAATAAAAAACTACATCATCTTCAACTTTATCTTCCTCAGTCAGCTGCACTGTAATAACAGAGTCACCCTAGGAAAAGAACAAGGAACAAGGTTAGGTTTACATGACCAAGAATTGCACCATACCAAATAAAACTTCTCTACCTACAAGGCTCATGCTCTCTGTTCATACATACCTTTCACACAACTTGGGGCCCATCCTAATTTTTAGATATGCAAGTAATCCTTAGCATCACAGCTAGCCAACAGGGTAGAAAATATTTTGAGCCCAACTCTGGGAAGAGATATGTAGAAATCTCCAGGGTATATTCAAAAGAGCAACTTACTATGGTGAAATGACACCAAATATGAAAAATGCTTAGTTTTAGGCTTTATTTCAGTATCTCAGTATATTCTATAATTTTTCTCATCTTTGCTATCAGCAAAAATTATACCTATAAAGGGCACACACAGTTATCATAGTTAACCCAGCAGAGGACACAGTAAATACACCTGAAATGCATACATGTGCATGGAAAATAACAGGGCCAATAGCCACCAACTTCAGTTTTCAATGGAGAAGGGAAAGCAAAGAAAGAGGATAGCTCACAGTTACTACGCAACTAATTTTCATTTGATCATAAAACCACAGACTCATTTAGTTTGGAAAAGACCTCCGATATCACAAAGCCCAACCATTAACCCAGCACTGCCAATCCCATCACTAAACCATGTCCCCAAGTGCCACATCTACAAGTCTTTTAAATGCCTCCAAAATCTCACCATACATCATTAATCAGCCTGAAAAATTATATAAACTATGAGACACTGGGAACAACAGTCTGTAACATGACCTTCTGCCCCTTTTCTATCAAGATCAAAACCAGCTGGATGCCCCAGTTTTACACTGCAGCTGTGGTTGCCAGCTCTCTGCCACCACCCCATTGAGCATATGGTTATGGCTGGAAATCTGGAAAAGATTTTATTATTATTATTATTACAGATTATGTAATTCTAATTTGCATATTCAAGAAAATACACATGTAATTTCCTTTAAAACCTTCTCCTTAAGATCACTCAGTTCGTCCCTTCTCTTTGTCAAACATAACTATTGCAGAAAATTCCCCGACTTCCCAGCCTTTCCATACACCCCTGCCGTGTTAGCATCATTTCCCATGCTCTGTCTCACATCTCCTCCCTTTCTCCCTCAGTTTCTTTTACTGTTCCTCCTCCAAGTTCATGTCCAGTTCTCCTCTGATCCAGCCTGTCTGGTACTCTAGCCAGGGGCAGGACTGCACCTTGTTTTGATAGAAATGAGGTTTTGCAGTACAGTACATGACCAGCCCCTGGTCTTAAAACCAAATATGTGGGTTAGTGCTGTAACACACAGGAAAGAAAACCAAAAATTAAAAAAAAAAAGATAAATAGAACACTGAGTCTAGTTTGCATTTTCAGAGGTTGTAGAGTTACAAATGTGCATTTTAGGAAGGTCTCACGCGATAATATCAGACCAGACTTCCAGCTGGGGAGAAAGGAACCATGTAGCAAAAGTATATCTTGTATAGAGTCAGTGTTAAAATAAAAACAGGTGCAAAAAGAAATAAATCAAGCTTTAAATTCAAGCATGACCAGTCCACATGCTGAGTTGAAAACTAAATATTCCATTTCAAGCAAATGGATCCAGTTTTGAGCTGATGTTCAAAAAAAACCAAAAGCTCAAGTTTTAACCTACAAACCCTTTGTGCTTTGGCTTTTTTATCCGACTTTGTTCAAACCCTTTCTCCCTTAAGGCATGAACATAAAAGTACTTAGACTTAAAATGCAGGTGACATTTCAGAACACTCACCAGCAGCACTGAGTGTTTAACATGATATCTGTTAAAGGAGATTTTTTCTTTTATTTAACTCAGAAACCAAGTACAGCTAGTCCAATTGCTGTGAAAGGAAAGCAAATCTGCACAGAGTGCGACACCTGTCTATCCATGCAAACCTCTCCTGTTTCTAGGAAAAGCAATTTAATTTGCATCAATATCACAAGAGATAATTTGCCTATTTTGTTATTGACAGAAAACTAGTAAATACATGTAAGAAACCCCAACACCAGAGGTTCTACATAACCTGAACTCTAAGCTGGGACTTACAAAACATATAGCTGAACTTCTTATATAGATACCTGACCTTATTTTGAAGGTGGAAGGTGGTCAGACCAGGTAACTTCCAGAGGTTCTTTCCAAGTAACTTGTTCCATTCTTTGTATTTTAATTCAGTTAATTTAAGGTATCATTTAAGTCTAGGGGGAGCACAAATTATCAGCAGCTGATATTAATTGAAAAGGATCTTCATCTGTGTCTAAGCAGAACTTTATGGTGGGATGGTCTCCTCCACCCTGCTTCCCACCTTCAACAAAGACTGTGGAACACTGAGCATCTTATTTATTGTTTTACTTGAATTTTTAAGTTGTCTCCAAATATCTTTGGTAAGACTGATAATGTGCTTTACTTTACCTACAGGTATTACCTGAGCTACCTCTCAGTTGTACTGTGCCTGGTGGAGCTCACTGTGCTTGAGGTGATTGGAGATCCCAGAAGCAAAAGACCATCTTTCTTCAACACAGATCTCTGCCTCCCAGTTACCAACAATTTCATTGTTCACTGCCAATTTTAAATTGATTGTTAACTTATATTCAAACAACGTATTTATTTGGAAAGGAAATAACACACAGAACAAACCCCACTCTTTCCAAGATCTTTGGAGTTAAAGAAAATCAGTTACAAATGCAGGCGAATTCCTCCAACCCACATAGAAGACTTTCCAACAGCCCTATTGCATTCAGCCTCAAAAACATTTTAATTGAACTATGTTTACCTTTATTCATTTAATATTGTTCAAAAAATGTCATCTGTTCAGTATCACTGCCACACAAGGTGGTTATTATAACCCTTCTTTCATCCTGAATGGCTAGAAATGGGAGGCCAGCCTGCCAATATCCCTTTGGTGAAAGTACAGACAGATCAAAGCCATTCTCTGGAATGCTCCAACAAATAAGAATAACTTAATTTCAAAACTAGTTTGGATCGACTAATATTTACTTGGCTTAAAGCCCATTGGAAATGAAAACATTCCATCTTGGTCCATTCATGAAAGAGGCCACCCTCTCCCTCGTTCAGATCTGAAAAATCTCTGGTCTCAGAGAGTTGTAACGGGATGTAAAGAAGGTGGATGTGGCTCTTTCCTCCAAATATATTCCCTTTTACAAACCAAAGGGAGAAAAAAGGTGGTCTGCCTCACCAAGGGACGGGTGCACTGGAAAAGCCAAACCTGATCTTGGGCTTTCAACCAGAAAACAATTCAGAAAGGGATTTTAGAGCGGCCCTACTCTGAAGCTTTGCCTTAGTTAAGGTAGTAGAAATACAGTTAGCTCCAGAAAGGCCCAAATGCTGTTACTAGGACTAAACCCCAAAACTATCCAGACAAGGCACCTGTTTGTCAGCATATTTTGCTGGCATTAGCACAACTCCACCTTTTTAGGTATTAGTTTTTCCAATAGTGCAGTTAAAGGCATGTGGATTGTGTACAGGCAAAGCATGAGCAACTCTGAGTAAGCTGTTAAAATGGACTATTTACATTCAAAGGCCTTTTTTTTTTTAATGGAAGACCTCAATATTTAGAAGTGACAATGAAGTGAACAAAATCTTTACACTCAAAGGAATTAAGATCACTTATCACCTTAAAAATAATATCCACCTTCCAAAAACAAATAATTGTTGTAAGCATGAAAAGACATCTTTCTTTTCTTTTCCACTTCAGGCTCTGGAAACGTCTGATTTTGGGGAATTGCTCATCATTTGGGACCATGAAAACAACCCTGACAAATGCAGAATTCAAGACTTCTACCTGAAAACCAAGTGTTTAGTTGGCAGTGGGAAAGGTTCCCTGAGGGATATCAGCTCTACCAGCAACAGGTAGACTTCTCTACAATCAACTGTGAAGGGAAAAAATATTCTTAGTGTGCTGGCTAACAAATTTTAATGTTTCTGAAAACAAACAAACAAAAATCAACACAATAACCAAACAAAAAAAAAAAAAACACCACAAAAAAAGGCCAAGCTGTATTTTTATAGCTGAAGCATGTGATTTTTAAGCTGGTTTTCCCCCCCATGGTTCATACTGGGAATTTTGAAGTACATTACTTAAGCCACTAACCACTCACTGACCTCCACACAGAGTCTAAAAACACTTATGAAAATGAAGCTTGCTTTAGAGAGCAATACTTCAGCACTCAAGTATCGCTTTAACATTCTGCTTTTAATGAGAAAACACTAACAACCAGTAATCATTAATTTGTTCTAAACAGAAAAGCAAAATTTCTGCTGCCAACAACTGATAGCAAACTCTGGCTGTTTTTTTCATGCCAGGAAAACCTACTGAATGGAAAGTCCGTGGGTTAGGTGGGTTAGAAATTCACATGAAGGAAAGAAACCTTCCACAGTGTGTTTCCTTCTAAGAGTTGTTGTAGATGTTGGCATTATGATGCCTCATTAAAGAAGCTGGATCAGGTGCTGGATTAGATGAGTAAACACAACCTGTCACTGTAACAAGTTTGGTTTTGTTTCCACTACTCATAACATGAATCAGATCCTTGTTGGGTCACTGCTTATTGCATTTTTGTTTGTTCCCCTTTGGAAAGCCCGAAACAGCTCCCAAGAGGGCTTCAGTGTACACAGGATGACAGCACAAAAATCACAGCTGTCATTTCTTCCTCCTCCTTCAGTTCAGGCTCATTGGTATCTTTATTTATTCCTTTTTAGATGGAGTTGGACTTGCTGTTACTCCCGCTACCGCTCGACACAGTGCGCACAGGATCGGGCTGGAATTCCAGCACGAGGCAAGTCCTTTCACATCCCCATGCTTTGATTTTCCCCATCAATGAAATGGGAATCGTGGTTCAAACATGAGTATTTTTCATCCAAACGGCTTCTAAGGGAACAGCTGGCTTTTCAATCATATGACGTTTTCTTTGGAAACCGACAATAATTAGGCTAGACAAAAATCAAAGGGAAAGTTGAGACAATTCCACCTCAAACTCAGAACT